CCTAACAAAAAGGCAGGCGCTTCCCACGCACTTATGTAAGTGCAGTTGCTGAAGTTCTTAACTACAGTATAACTGGACTCCGGCCCAGGCTTCACTGCAGGAAATCAGGAGCAACCAGAGCAGCCACTTCTAGCCTAAAGCCCTCAGCAAGTACAGGATTTTATAATCCACGCTGCTTTGTTGCTGCAAATTTGTAAGGAACTTTGAGTTTACTTAAAGCTGATGAACGGATAGTAGAAGGCACAATGTCTAGGGGCACAGGGAGAGTTAAAAGTGGACCACACCTCTCCACATCTGAGAAGCTGCTGTTATTTTTGAGAACAGTAAGAAAAAGTGAGCACTAAGTAGCTGTGATTCTCTGGCCAGAACATTGCCTAATGATCTCCTGCTGTCACTTTTTAGTCCCGTTCCCAGTGGTTCTGCTAACAGCCAAGCCTTGACAGCTTGTGATAAGCTCAGTGTACCTGACACACAGGAACCAGACCACGTATGGATGCTTCAATTCTCAGCACGTGCAAGGAGGAATCTTGTTCGGAGAGTGCATGGTCAGTAATTCGTGTACCAGATCAAGCAGCAGGAAGCTGCCACGTCAGTGTGACCTTGCTAGAGCAGGGCCTGCTTCGAGGCTCTTACCACAAGGAGGTAGTGAGTGAACTGTGTTTTTCTGCGGGTGCTGAGAACTACATGAGCAAGCTACCCTCACAAAGACGACTTCACTTTCTGCATTTTGTGCTCATCCTCTTTATCCCACTGTCCCTCTAACTTACTCAAATCAACACCATGATGTTACGGTTCAGTGCTGCTACTCTGTCCTTTCTGCACTGCAGTTTCTCCCACTCTCTCCTTGCTTGGGTGGGGACCATTAACTCCAGCTCTTCAAAGGCTTCACATGCTAAAACTCGACATTGGCCCAGAAAACAGAATGATTTCATGTCAGTGGTCACTAGATGGCAGCTGGTTCACAGAGAGACACTCCTCAATGCCACCCCCCATTGTGGCTTTAATGCTTCTCTCTCTTTTTTTAAGGAGTTTTTCCAAAAAAGTATGTACTTGATTCAAGTACAAGAAGGTTCAATATTTGGTTCATTTCTTTCCCGGCTATTTCCAGTTACAGAAGGCTTGTTCCATGCTCATTAACAACAGCAATGAAGCCTTACCTCCTCTTCTCCACTCACGTCCTCCTCTTCTCCTTCCTCCTCTTCCTCCTCATCTTCTTCATCTTCTACTACCTGAGCATCTTCATCGTATTCCTCTTCTATACAGGCAAACAAGATTTATACCGCTCAGATATTCGGAATTTGTTTTTCAGCAGTCCCACACGAGCTGTGCCCTCTTGGTGATGTCAGGAGCAACCTGACAGCTTTGCTCAACGGCAGAGCAGAGCTCCACGCAGCTCCCCAGCTGCAAAACACAGGGCTGGACCCAGCCTTGAGCTGAAGCTGCTCCAGCTCCCACTCCTAACTGGCATTTCCAAGCCTGTGGAACACGGCAGCTCCTCTGCTCTGTCCATCTGCTCCCACCAGGGACGTGGCAGAACCGGGAAGGGCGACGGTGCCCAGGGAACGCTCCCTAAGGGCCAGGCCACCCCTTGCCTTTTGCTGCCAGGGCAACACCAAAAACCACCCTGTTCTCCTTACTGTAGGAAGGGTGTTTTGGAGCTTTTTCATGCATCTGAAACCAGGCCCAGGCTTGTGCTCTGCTG